CGAGGGCCGCGCCGATGACGATCGGGATCTCATGGTAGTGCTTCAGCACCCAGTCCGACATGAGCAGCATGGGGTCTTGGCGGCGGCGGCAAACGTAAAATTGACACAAATGGCAAGATCTATCCTCGGCCAGTTACAAATGCGACTTTTCTAGACGCGTTAAAGTCGATCGGTGTACTTGGCGTTTGTATCGACTCGACGCGTTTTTTCATAATGGACGTCAAACCCAGACGGATCGCCGTTGACGCAGCCGCCATGTGATGGCCGCCACAGGCACGTGTTTCCACCCGGCTGCCAAGCGCAGTGCGCGGCCACCGGCCATTGGCTACCGTCCCGTCCAGCTGGAGCAGGATTCTGCGCGGAGGTTTCCGCTCCATTTCTGATAGCAACACCAGTGGCACCGGTCGCCCCTTCGCAGGCCGGCGCGAGAAGTGCGCAGCGTGACGTGGCCTTTTCTGCTGCAGCCGCACGCTCTTAAAGGAGTGGCTGTGTATGAATTCTGCCGCGTTATTAAATAGGTCGCTGTCCACGAGCATGTGTCGAAGCAGCGCAGAGTCGGCACAGCGTGATTACAGCACATCGAGATGTATTTGCCACCTGCCTCGGATGACAATGACCGACCAGCTGTCCACACTTAAACGGGACGCCACAGTTTGACGCATCGTTGGACGCGTGGCGATCGCGTTTTACCCATGGTCGAAGGTTTAACCGAGTGCCGTATCCGGATTCCGGAGTCGCGAGATCCAAAACGGGCATGACGGACGCGAACCGAGACGTGCTCTTCCTGCGCGTCCGGACGCTCGAGAAGTACAAGCACAACTATGAGCTCTTATGCAGCCAGCTCAGCGACCTCAACACGCAGGTCGGGCTCCAGCTGCAGCGCCACGAGATGGACGTCGCCGGCCTCCAAGGTACGTCGCGGCTTGATGCGCGCTCATGGCCACCGCCGTGCTAGCCATCATTCGTGGCCTCGAGAAGGATAAGACCGACGCTGCTACCAAGGTCATGGAGCTCGAGGCCAGAATCGCTGCGCAGGCCACTGTGATGAGCCAGGACAAGGAGTACACCGACCGCATTCACGCTCAGCTCACGACGGCGGCCGAGCTCCTGAAAGCAAGTGAGCGCAATGCGAGCGAGCGCGAGAGAGAGTGCCACGCACAGCTAGACGCTATGCACCGGCAATTAGAGAAAGAAGCGTGCGAGCACGACGCTGTAAAGCGCGAACTGTCAGCGCTCAAGCTCGCCAAAGACTCGGGCAGCGAATCGAGCAAGGACATCAAGAAGCTGCGGCGACGGCTTAGCGAAGCCCATCATTGCATTGAGACCCTGCGCCGGCAGCTCATGGACGAATGCCGTCGACGGGACGCGGAGAGTGATGCGGCGCAGGAGGCGGCCCAGCGAAGGATAGCGCAGCTGCAGCAGGACGCGATCTGCCTCTCCGAGATTGCGTCGTCCTCAAAGGCGCACGCACAGTCGCTCGAGCAGCAGCTGGACGCGCTCGAGGCCCAACACCGCAAGTCCCAAGTGCGCGAGGATGATCTTCGGCGCGAACTCGAGCGCCACGACGTGCATCGAGCCCATGACAACGACCGGCTCGTGCTGGAGCTCACCGACAAGGACACGCGTATCAAAGCCTTGGAGAAAAAAGTGCGCGAACTCAAGATTCGGTGGAAGCAGGACAGAGAACACTTGAAAGGCAAGCTCCAGCGCCACGAAGCGACCGACGACGAAGCGTACCAGCTCCGCCAGCAAGTTCGCGAACTCGAGACTCAACTCGTTGTCGCGGACAAGCGCTGTCGACTCCTCGAGCGAGAAGTCTCTACCCTTCGAGATGTATTGGACGAAGCTGCGCTACGCCAAGAGCGCCGCGACAGCACATCGCGGTATAGAGGAACCTCGCCGCAGTAGTGCCACGTCACATTGATTACATAATCCTATCATGCCTGTGCTCGGTGCCGAGCGCTTGTATCACGACCCTCGTGTCTCTTCACGCTTCCGTGTTAGGCTGCTTGCTGAAAGGCAAATTGAAAACTGAATTACCAAGCACTTAAAGACCTTGTCTTGGAACGTCTGGACGAGACCTTGTCTTGGAACGTCTGGACGAGGGCGTCTGGGGCAAGGGTAGCTGGCTGGAGCCTTCGAGAGATTTCTAGAACTCCTTCCAGCAGGCTTGGCGTCGGCATCACCAAAAGGATCGTAAGTACGTCTTGGTGATGACGTCACACGAC